GGTATAGGTAGACAGAAATGGCACAAAGTTATCTGAAATATAATGGACTCCTTGGAGTAGGAGTTACTTGTATTGGAAGGGGATCTAACAATAGCTTTTTGAGCCTTACGGTTGGTATGCTTACCTCATAGTGTGGATGTTTAAATTCCCTCAAGCACAATCCAAAGCGGAAAAGGAAAAGTCATGCGATAAAAGTTCCTACAAAGTTAATTCCATAACTTCTATATATCCTATCTCTCTTTCGCGTTGCAGAGACCTGTTACCTCACTGTTCTATCTGGCACCCTCTACTGCCAGCTTGTCTAACCGTTCAATGAAGCAGATATTTCTGCTGTCAGGGTGGATAAAACAACAGGAGTTATATTAAAAAGCTATGTTTTCTGGTTGCCAGAGGAAAGGCATGAACTGATGGCTTGGTAGTGAGGTAGGTATCCTGCAGAGATATTTCGTATGCCTCTTCACAAATGGAAAATTTAGAACTTGTCATTTGGAAAAAAAGGCTGAGGATTTGATTCTCTTTCTGATCTGATCCTGTTTCTGACTTGGGGCTGACATCAATGTACATTTCATTTCAGGAGTGTAACAATCTGGTTTAGATCTGTAGGTTGATAACTACAAAGCTGTAGTAACGGATAAGGAAAAAATGAGAGATCCATGGATAGGAAGGGTTTCCAAATTACATGTCTGCAAGTTCATAAAGTTGGTCTGCTAACCAGCAGAACTGCCTGCAAGCACTGCAGGAGCCAGGCCAAGAAAACTGCCTTTCTCATTTCTGACCTCTGCATTGGGGTGATGCTTTGGGGGCTGGTACTATAGGGTAATGAGGCTGCTTTGCATAATAGCACAGACTGGCTCAGAATATCCCAGGGGTTTGTGAAACTGCTTGTTTTCAGGTTTGTCTTTTCAGTGTCTTAAAAATACGTAATTTCAAAAATTTAAAAAGTTGGAATAAGGTATAAATTCCCATGAAGTCTCTTCAGGTATATGATTGGTATTTTTTAATTAGACTTGAGAATGTGTTAAGTATTTCTTGAATATTTGCCCCTGAAAGCAAAATTTTAATGTGTTCCGGAGAAGGTATCCCAAGTATTCAGGGAACTATCATTGCATAGATCTACTGAGAATACTGCATTTGCAAATATAGAATTTTTGGTATTTAAAAACATTATTAATGTATGGCATGATTGTTTGCTTTGTATTAAAGAAATTATTTTTTATAGAGAACACATGGAAATTATTTCCCTTACCATCTCCCTGTAAATGATGGAAACATTTAAACTTTGTGAGCAGAAGAGGTGGTGTCCCTGAAGAGTGAAAGAAAACAGTACTGGGTATGTGCTAGAGTATTCCAAAAGTGATCCTCAGTACTTCAATATTTGTAAATTTTTATTCTTACCAATTTATTTTTATATAAAATTTCAAGATGAGTGAATATTTAAAAAAGATTTTAATATATTATATTAAGATATAATATAAGATAAAATATTTTAAATATTTTAAAAAGAGATTTTCTCAAATAGAAACAATAAGAGCAAGAAATTACAGTTGAGGTGAGATTTTCCCATGATTGAATTTTCTTAGAGGTATAAAGTTATATTATTATGTTTATGTTCTTGAATTTATCCTAAAGAGCTCTGTAAATGAGTGCTCAGAGGCCAAGAGTTAATACACATGAAACCTTTAAATCTTTTCAAGTAACCTTCGTTTGTGCTTGCATTATTTCCTGCTGTTTAAGAATTTTGTCAACGTTTTTGTACCTTCAGTTGGAAAGAGAATGTAGTGGTGTGTGGAGCAGAAAATATTTTCTGTTGAAATGATAAAACCCTTTGGTAATGAGAAATGCCTGGAACAATTTTTGGCTAAGAAGGGGTGCATGGGAGATCAGTCCTTATTAACCAGTACAAAGAACAGTAAAGGTGGTAGTAAAAGTCTCAACTGACAAGGATAAGATATGAAAGAATCCCTTTTAGTTTTTTTAGACRGTACCTTTGCAGAAGATAACACTTCATTAGAAATGAAATGAACAAAATATGGGACTGTGTCCTTAAAAAGGAAAAAGGTTACTACAGTGTGTATTTTTCATCAGCTAGACCTTGGAAGTTTAATGCAGGATGTATCTTACACTTTCTGATTCCCTGTGAAGAGAGGCAGAATTAGAACAGCTCAACTTCTGTGCAGAAAGCTGCCTAAAGCAAATGGACTCACTGTTGAGCAACCTGGGATTAGCGAAAACGGAAGTGCTGTGGCTCAGATATGGTTTTAGACCTTCATGTAAGGGCTGTATTTCAGGCCACTAAAAAAAAAAAAAAAAAAAAAAAAGAACAGATCTTTGCTCTAGAAGGTTCATATCTTAAAGGATCAGAAAGAAAAGCAAATGAGGAGAAATCAATGCTTGAACAAATTTTCATTTGTGATTGTATCATCTAGTATTTGGACAAAAAATCTTTTATGGTCTGAATGTAATTAGATGCTCTGTACAATAAGGTAGATACTAGATTTTTTTCAGCTTGGTCCCTCTAACGTGCAGGAATATCTTGTTGCAAGAAAGATATTTTTCTCTGTATTTCTGAAACCATCAGACCTTTGCTAGAGCTAGACCTTTGATAGGGCACTTGTACAGAGAAATTGGAGAGCTATGAAGCAGACCACAAACTATTTAAAGAAGCCCCAAATACTTGGATATTTTTTAAGGTTAATGGTGAATGAGTTTATCTCAAACTATATGGAGAAAGGGATAAGATAGAAAAAAGCTACAGCAGTTACAGTAGTCTCTCTGTAGAATGCACTATATTAGATACCATGTGAACCAGATGGGCCAACACCTAAAAACATCTCTGTCATTCCTATGGCTGACTAAAAAGCTAATCAGATAATTTTGTTCTTTTACCAGAGTTTTCACCGTATTTATGGAGACCTTAAAGTGACAAGTTAGTCTAATTTCATATGATTACATTGGAATAAAACAGGCTGAAACTATTMGATGCTTTAGGTGCCTTCTAATTAACCTTTAATTAAAAATAAAAAAAGTATCAGGTGTTTGGGGGATATACTATGAGTTTTCACAATTGGCTTCTTTAGGTGTTTTTATAAACATATCTGGCAATGCAAATAGTACAAATCTTCTGTTTTAGAAAGATTTTAGTTGGGGCCGGCAACAAATGAAGACTTTTTTCTTTATTTGTCTCCCCTGTCCCTGGCATCAAACCTTTTGCACCTTTAATTTTCATACAGGCTTTTTGGCTTTTTTTCTTTCTTTCATTGTCTCTCTCTCTCTTTTAATCTAATGCTACTTCTRTTTAAAAGTAATTGCACTTGACTGTTGGGGAAAATATTACATTTTTTGCTATTGAAACTTCCTTTACGGTTGGTTCTCTGGCTCGAGAACTGCCGTTCACGCGGCAGGGCAGGGCCCGCGAGGGGCGGTTGCCTTTTGCACAGTGGAGCGCGCGCGCCCCTTGCTCGCGTCCCGCCCCCCCCTCCCCGGGGCTAACGGTCGATTTTCAAATAGCCGTTAGCAGCTGCCGCGTGCGGCGCTGAGGTAATTGCAGCGTCTCATCCCTCTAACGGTTGGTTTTTAGATAACCGTTGGCTATCGTCGCGTGCAGCGGTGTAGGGGGCGTCCTTCCGCAGGAAAATGCTTCCTCTCGGCACACCGGCATAGGAGAAAATGTATAAGCCTCGCTGTAGGAGTTCAGCGGTGTGGAAAAGGTAGAGGGAGGGAGATAAGTTTTCTTTGTTACTTTTATTTTTAGCTAAGTAGCACGTGAATCTCTGTCAGTCTTGTTGGGTAAAAATAGGTTAAGGATGGAATCAGTCTCATTTAAGAGAAATTGTTTTCTTATTTTCTTTTATTTTTATTATATTTTTCCCCAGAAAATTTATCCATGCTTGTAGTGCAGAGCTTGGGAGAAAATCCTGCTTTATCACAGTTAGTACCAATCAAGATTACAATCTGATTCATACAGTTTTGTACAGTTACAATCCTTTACAAATCAGAGTTAACATTACTTGTTGTAGTTCAGTGTGTAGCAAACACTCTTTCGGAAGTTGCAGAAAGTTGTCAGACTGTTTTGGGAAGTTATTCTAGTATTTAGCATACAACATAGTTATCTTCCATGGAAATTAATCTATTTTTAATTTTTGATTGGAAAAGCCTTTACGTATCAGAACCAGAGAAGAGACCATTTTTACAACATAGGTTTTTGTGTATCATTGTGATAAGACTTTTTCAGCTACATTGGACAGACTACACCTGCTCTTGTCTTTACAGGCAAGATTCAGAACATACAGGTTTGTCTAAAAAAGTGGTCTGCACAATAGTGATGTGCACATTAAAGATAGGGGAAAAATGCAATCTAATTCTAACCTGCCACTGAGGTAAAACTAAAACCTGACTAAAACCTGATAGCCAGAAGACATAACTATGAATTATAATAATAATTATTATAATCAGGAACCAATCTTGGTTAAAAACAAACCAAACCACCCAATATCTTAAAAGAATATGAATAGCTAGTTTACACACCCTCTGTGCACTTCGCACAGGATGCACCACTCTTTCTTGAAGATGAACATATAGAAGTGTATGGTTTCCATGCAGCAGCAGCTGAAGAGACTTCAGTAGGACATAATTACTCTCACCTGTGACCAAACAGCCAGTCAGAAGCAGCTGCTTTCAATTATAATAGAGGCAGCAGGTGGAGCTGTTTTGAGGTGCAGATGAGGGGAGATTGATAAGAAAAATTTCTGTGCAGCAATGGTAGGAATGGCTTGGGCAAATGTTAGAGGCAGGAAGAACTGAACCTTACTGAACCAAACCAAAGAGGAGATGATAGAATTAAAAGTTTGTTTCTCATCATGCAGAAGGCAAAATGAGAGCTGCAGAATAAAGCAGGGAGGAGGGCAAGGACCCTTTGGTGTCCCCAATTACCAAGAGGCACCATGTGCAAATGACCCATCTGGTTTTTGAGTTACTGTTTTAAACCTCAATTATATTTTGTTTTCTTTCTTTCTCTTTCTTTTCTTTCTTTTTTTTTTCCTCAATTAAAGACCCGCTCCTACTGGATGTGAAGATGAGTTTTGAAATGACATCTACACTACGTCTGGTGTTTCTGACACCAATTATTCTGTTGTACTTAATGTCTTATCATTTCTGGATGAGGCACAAACTCCATGGACTCTGCTAACAAGAACATTATGCAGGTATGTGATTCTTATTAGGTAGGTCTGAGACCAAAACTTAGACAAACATTTGGTTTCGGACTGTTGTAAGGGATGGGTCCTAACCTAGGTAGTCGTTTGGTCTAACCGTTTATACACATCTTAACGTCTTGGAGGTGAGTTGAAGTTACTGAAGCAGTGACTTTTTTTTTTTTAGTGACTTCTGCAGGCATCATTTAAGAAAAGGGAAACTTTGGATGCATGTTTTCTTACAGTCTTTTTCCTTTCAACATTTTTTCTTTTACATAACTTTATTAGTGGCAGTCCTTGTTGTTACTTTCTTGAAAAACTTTTATTCAAAACAAAATTTGTCTAATTGTCAATGCTGTAGTAGTGCAAAAAGTAGTGAAAGGACAAAGTATGTGAGAAACTCTGTATAGAGTAGGACACAGTAAATTTCTAGCACATTTATTAGAGGTTGGAGAAAGAAGGAAAGTAGTCATTTTACTTCTTTTCTCCCAATTTGCTTGTAGTTTGGAATACAGTTAGTATAATGTTTTCTAAAAGAACAGTTTTACTGGTTTTGTCTTGTAATTTGGAAGAAGTATCATCCGCTCCTGTGGCTTCTCTAAAGAGTGAGAGGGGTGATACCTAGCTCTTTCACAGGAAGAAAGATATGTTTTAAACTGTATAAGGAATTACCATGATAAAAGATTATTTATGTCTGAAGTTTGATCAGCATTTTGTCACTTGCTTTACAGCTGCATTAAATGCTAATTAAGAGTCTTAGTTTTATATCAAACACACCTTTATAACATGTTTTGATCATGTTATTATCTGTACTATGTAAATGATAAATTACAACATGAATGATTTTAACAGATTGAAAGAAGATGGAAAAAACTTGTAGTTTATGGAGATTTTGCAACATATAAAGTATGGAGATAATGCAACATATAAAGTATTATTCTTGCTGTGTATTAGTTAACTGTGACTTAACAAAATTTCCATGTTCACCCAATGCATTTTATTTTGCTGGGAACCTTGACTGAGGAGGCGTTTTTGAGGCAARCACCTTAGGTAGAAGGACTTCGAAGTACGATAATTGTATATGTCACCTCGTCAGCATAGACATGTCCTTTAAAGTGAACAGGAGCAGACTATTTAGCATTTGCAGAACTCCACTAGTTTGCGTGTGCTGTTCTCCCACGTGAATTTGTCAATTCTTTTTACTTTTTGAGTCTTATTAAACCTAGCCTGAAAGTTCAGAGCAAAGAAGGGGAGGGCAGCCAAGCCTGATGTTGCTGAATTGACAAAACTCACGCTGGCTACATTTCCATTGTGCCTAACTTTGAATCTGGGTTTTCTCTGAAGAAAAACTGGTTGTCATCCCAACATACCGTGCTCTGGTTCACATCATGACATGATTTTAGAGTATGCAGAGTTTATGCTCAGTCTAGTTCAAAAAGAATAAAGATGTCTTCCAGGTGCATATCAATCTCAGGTGMATTCAATCTCAGATGGACAATTTGGACCATGGGGTAAGATAAAGGCTAATCTGAAGCAAGAATTCCCTCAAATGACTGTAATATGTTTGTGAAGTTCTATAAAGTAACAGTTTCATTCCGTAAGTCCTCTCCTCTTAGTCCTCAGTACTTGTGAATAGATATGCAGTGACTCCTGGATTTTGGCTCATGTTCTATGTTTTGAAAGGCACTGTGTTCTTTGAAGCTTTAATATCCTCCTAACAAACAATGACCACTGTGATGGTTTAAAGAAATTGGTATCAATATGATAGAGGAAACAAATATGAAATTTGAAGGATCAAAGGGAGAGAAATATCTGAAATTAACTTCCAAGGCTCTGTTTAATCTTATGAATTATAAAATAATATCCATTAATTTTGAGAGTCCTTGTCTAGAACTGTTATTACCAAGTACTGTCAATGCATTCGACAGGTTAAAATGTAAACACCTTGCAGAAGATGACATAATATAGGATGTATGTCTGCAATGCCAACTCATCACTATAAATTTAAATGCTCTGCTTGAACTTAAGTAGTCTGTATTTCCATTCCTAATACTGTAATTGTATCTTCTTGTGAAGTTTTATTGTTTGTTTTTCTTAATACAAAGCTGAAAGGAAAGATCAGACAAGTATTTTTTGTGATAGGAGACAGGAACTGGTATAATAAAGCTGTATGTGGTTTTGTGCGATATGAATTTTTGTGCAATCTTACAGCAGATGACTTTTTAATTGTGACCACTTAAATTTATTATTAGTGATCTGAATTAATTAGAGATAATGTAAAAATCAAGGGCAGAAAAAGACATGTCACATACCATGTGTTTGCTCATTAGCCACGACAGTTACTCTGCAGGGTAAATTAATATTGATATGTATATTGAAACAAAAATACACTGGAGAGGAACAGAGGTGGTGAGCTGTGCTTTGCCAGCAGTTAATAATGGGAAGATTAAAAAAAAAGTATTGAATGCAACTTCTCCTACACAAAATGTGATTTGTTGCTCAGTAGGTTCTTTTGATTTCCCTCAGACAAAGAATGATTCCAGTATTATTGCTATGCTTGTATACTTCCTATCCTCAGTTTAGTACAGGCAAGGAAATTGAGCCATTTTTTCAAGCTACCATTAGACAACAAAATTTGCATGGTAACTTGGAGTTCATGATATCTGCTGTCTGTAGTGCCTTTATGCAGTACCCAAGGACATAAACACTCAGCATTTTATTTTAAGCATTACATAGGTTGCTTGGTCTGTTTTTCTGCCCGTAGTTGTGGGGCAGGCAAGCCTGTAGCACTGTTTTCTGTGCTATCTGTCCTCTGGTAGCAAGCCTTGTTTATTGGAAGTAGTGCAGTGGGCTGTTGTGTTTAATATAGAGTTTTTGTTGTATAGTTTCTAATTCAGTGAGTTTAGAGACTTAGCAAAATGTAGCATCAAGTAGCATTTTAGCAGCGTTCGGAAACATTTTGGAGAGCAGAAGTATTGGGGATTTTTTTTTGTTTGGTTTTAATCACCCTAGTAACTTACTTCTTGACATAATGTTACTTCCACACTAGGTAACTGATGTGCCTGTGCGCTAAATATGTGCATCATGGGGAACAAACAGGAGGAATTAGAGTTCTGTGCAGTTGCAGTGTTGCTGTCTCATTGGGACCATAGAGACATACTTGTAACTCACATGACTGGATACCTGCAGTGGATAGACCCTTCAGGAAGGGCATGTCAGGAAGATGAGGAGGGGGGAGTCTATGTGAGAGAGCATCTGAAACACTTAAAGCTCTGCCTCAGTTATTAATGAGCTGACTGATAGCTCTGGAAGATCTGCAAGTGCTTCACCTCTGCCTGAGTTCTCCAGTAAGGCAGTAAATGTGACGCTATGTTTTTACTTTTTTTTTCTTTTCCTGTCCCCCCCCCCCCACCTGTGTTGCATCTTCTATCTTTTTGGAGCTTAGAACATGGCTAAGGAGCTCCCAATACGAAGGCCCACACAGCAGTATTGTTGAGGCATTGCTAATAAGCCGCAGCCATCAATAGACTTGGAGTTTTGGTGCAGCTGTGCTGGCTAGTACTTCATCAGCTTACCTTGTGGTGGCTAGGAACATATTTTGCTAGCTACATCAGCAGAAAAGCTCCTTTYACATACTAGAAGGTAGAAGGATATGTTGCTTTAGCTTGCTACTTGTCACTGTGTCAGTTTTAGAGATTAAAACTTAATCAATACAGTGATTCTTAAGCTCCTTGAAGTTAGGAAGAATTTTTTATTTATGTAGCAGTGCTAGCACCATGGGGCTGTTGGTTCCTGTGCTCTTTAGGGATTTTCCTATGAACTCATGCCAGTTACTCTTCGGCAAAAAGTACTATTTTAGAAGTGAATTGAAACATCACCTTCTGATCCATATATCAGATGATGACCCAAAAGATCATTGCAGTTGATTAGATCCACTACTAACAGCAGTTTCCTGGGTATGAGGGTCTAAATGAAAATTCGCAGATTCCTTTTATTCCCACAGTATAGAAAAGCCATTCCTAGTCCAAATTACTTTACCAACATGCTTGTCTTCACTTTTGTGTTTTAGGTTAGTTCCAAAGCATTAGAGGGAAATTTAATATTTTCTCTGGTGGACATTCTTGTTTTTTATGGGTGGGAGTGTGTTGGAGTGTTTGTTTGTTTGTTTTTGAAGCTTTGTAAAGAAGCTATATTCTTTACCAGTCACTCGCAAGTAAAGAACCCTGTCTATGTTAAGGGATAAAGTTCTTCAAACAGTGAAATGAAATCCTATTTATCTTTATCTGTTTGAACTTTCGAACGTTATGGCTAAAATATWTTTTCCTCATTTATAAACATTAAAAATTTCTATAGTACAGATGACTCTTTAGCAGCATAACAATTTTACGGTTACCAGTATGCTTCTTGTAGCCAGTTAAAAAGGGCATGCCTTTTCTTTTCCTAGTTACTTTATTGGCATTATGACTACAGCCAATGACTACAGGTTCGAGAAGTTCCTAATTTGTTATAACTTATGGTGAAGGATTAATCGTGTTTTATGTGTGCTGTCATGATCAAAGGAATACACACTGTGCTGGCTCAGAATTAGTTTCACAGAAAAATCAGTGCTTAGTATGTGACAATTTCTGTTTTTCTTGTAGAGATGGAATAYTGCCCTACTTCAATAACTGGCTTACTGTTTCTAAAGCTCAGACTCCTCTAAATATATTTGAATGTTGAGTCACTTTAACAGATAACACGTAACTCTGATGACTTATGGTTAAAATTATGCATTATTAATCAGATTTATAAATTGTGTTTTAGTAAGAGCTGTCATGATCTAGTTTTAACTCTGTCTACATCCTATTAAACTGAAGGAATTGCAACTTTGCAAAAACAAAACCCCAAACCAAAAAAACCTTTGCCATCCKTTAGCAAAGCATGGAGAGAAGTTGAGGAATATTTCATTGTTGCTTTTACTAGTGTAATTTTCTCATTTTCAGCATTGCCATCTCTAGGTTTTATCCTCGATT